GCTCAGGTTTTAGATTGCTCCAACGCTCCATTTCGTATGAGGTCAATGAGAGCAGATAATTCACTAAACCCAGGGCAAAGCTCTGGCTGTGGACATAGTTTCCCTACACTTGTTGCTCGGTTCCTTTTTTGGGGAGCAGTTTGAACTGACAGGTTTTATAAAGGTCCAGTCTAATATAAGGCAAACATGAATTATTGAATCAGGCAATGCTACTCTCACAGACCCAGAATAAAAAGTCCCATAGACAGTAAGATCTAGTTAACACTTGTCGACTAAGCTATTTCCTGCTGGCAGCGGACAGAATTTAAACTGTGTCCATTGGAAATCAAGTGAACCCAGGGTTTTGTAGCTGGCTGCCTTCTTCTTTGCATGACCACAAACTGCTGCTTTTCTCAGGGAATTCCAAACAAATGACCAGTGGTATTGTTTTTATTTTGGACAGGATGTTCTCCATATATTTCTTCAGATTGTGTGGTTAGATTTACCATCAGAGGCCTGCAGACTGCAGCAGAGTCCCAGAGCCAGGTAGGCTTTAGGCAGAAATTCTCCTGCTTCCTCCCCCATAGACACCACACTCTGGGACAGAGCCTCTGCCTCCTTGATCTGCATACACACATAAACACATTAACCTCTGAAGGATGTTAGCTGGGATGAATATGCGGCAGAGGGACGAGGAAAAACACCCAAGTTGAATCAATTTTTGGTGCAACAATAAGCTACATGGAGATTGGGCTGTTCGAAGCATCGCGCAGAACTGTCTCTTTGTCTTCGATCTCTTTGCGTAATCCCCAGCTGACTCTGTGATGTGGAGATCAGTGCTCTGTAGAAGCCACACCATCTGTTACAGTCGACTCAGTTGACTTCTTGTTCTTTTTGGGGCTCTTTGAGACTCTGGTTGCAAAGCTGGGATCAATCACATGCCTCCCTCATGGGTGAGCATGATGGACAAGACTGATAAAACTCATAAAAATAAAAAAAATATCTATATTTGCTGTGTGAATTGTGAGGTACTGTAAAGTGAGCTGAAAACTTTGCCAGTCTGTCCAGCAAAATGTGTCTGCGATGCAGTGGGGAGGGACGTGAGTTTAGTGCGAGGACAGTCCGGACAGATTTGCTTGAAGGACAGCGCAGAGTTTGCTGAAGGACACACACGCTCGCCCACACACACAGCAGTAGACTGCAGGCGGTGTGTGGCTCAGCCGAGCCGAGGTGCTCTGAGCTGAGGAAAAAGTGTGTCACTCCGTGTGAGGTATGGCTGGTGGCGGGCGGGCAGGTGGGTAGATGGGCGTGGGTGGAGGTGGGGGGGTAATGCCTTTGACAACACACCAGTGCAACAGCAAGCAAACTGCTCTGACACCCCCCCTCCGCTTCATGTCCTCCTCCTCCCTTCATCCTCCTCCTCTGTTCTCTCTCCCTTCCTCTGAATCCAGCCCTCGCTCTTTTAAAGCCTGCGCACAATAGACCAGCCGTTTACACGCGGACCCTGTCTGTGCACGTTTCAGGCAGATTATGATTTTGTTTTGTTTTTTCTCCTCCCCTTGAACAGTGTGGAGAAAGAACACGTCGCCATTGTCGGTGGAAAACCTTGAATCTGCAAAAAACTGCTCTTCAGGAATTTAGAAAAGCAGCTTTACGTGCAAGATCGAGAGTCCCACAGTTCATGGTGATGTCACTGGTTTGGGCGATTTCAGATATGTCTACAAGAAACCTACGAAAAACCAAAGAAAAGAGCAAAAAATGTTAAAATAAATAACGTTGTTGGCTGCAGTAAATATCAGCCCAGACTGTCCAGTGGAGCTGATGGTGGATAACAGTGGCACATTTATGTAATGCCACACTGCACTACGACCATAGTGTCCCATTGTGATTACGGCTGTAAGCTCCTTAGTGTTTCCAGCCTGCCATGATCTCCAGCCACTGACAGATGTGCTCTCTCCATTTGCCTCTGTTAGCTCCACTTTTCTAATCTCTCTTTCTCTCTCCAACTCCCTCTCTCCCTCTACACTAAATAACACTGTTGGTGTTATTTTCTCTTCCCTGCTGAGATCATGCACTGAAGGAGTATCCAAGCAGGCCTGGGATTCACAGTAGTAGTGTGTAACTGCCTGACTGACCCCAGCATCAATCCCAAATATCAGGGGTCTCGAACTCCAGGCCTCGAGGGCCGGTGTCCTGCAGTTTTAGATCTCACCCTGGGTCAACACACCTGAATCAAATGATTAGTTCATTAACAGGCCTCTGGAGAACTTCA